GCATTCATAAAAGATCTAAAGACTCGCCCAAGTGCTTCAGCTGTCTTGTTCCCCCGCTGTGAGAGTTTGTCCTCCTGATATACAGCCTGATGCTGCCGTGTTTGCTCTTGGTGTTGGCATGGTTAATCAATGAGGTGCCAAATGAGGAAAAGCGATTTATTCTCACCGTTAATCATTTACTTAGCTCTCGCTCATGCTTTCAGCATGAGTGGATGGATCGCATTGAAGTCAGCAACTTCTTACGCACATCTGCCCTCCAGACAACCTCTGGACCGGCTTGCGAGTAGATATGTTGGTTCGCACGTCATTTATTTCCTACGTGCATGGGCTTTATAAACAAATGTGAGCTTTAGATCATTTTATTTTATACATAACATTTTTTTTTTATTATATTCCCCCAGGAAAGGTAATTTCAGTCAGCTTATTGACAGCCTGAATATAAGTGCATGGCCACTGCCTCAAAATTCACATCAGGACATACATAATTACACAAGCATCTAAACTCTATTCGAGAACTAATTTACACCATTCCTCACAACAAGTACCCAAACCTGTCATATAAACCCTGTCGTTTGAGAGTCTAGCTTAAAATAATGTAGACATGCTATGCTTTGAAACTGGTGCAAAAAGATTGTCAACCACCATGCTGACACTAAACAGACATACATATTCCAGCTGTTTCATATTAATGGTTACTTAACATTCATTCACGTTACTGGAATTTAGCATTGCAGGACACCAAACAAACAGTAATCGCACCTTAAGACCATAACAGCAAGCAATGAGCAACAGATTTCATTTGTAGCTTATTTCAACATATAGAAACTCCAATAAATCTGTGACACCATTTTCTAACTAGGCAAAACATTACATTTTTAACCATGTTCATTTTTCCACAATAGATTTTTCCAGGCAGTCGGAACATATTTGAAGTTTAAAGATTAAGTGTGTAATTTCTCCTTCTCCATCAAATAACTATTTTCAAACAGGTTTCCTAAACATTCATTTCTTCTGCCATTGGTCAAACAAACATAGTCCCGCCCCCAATTCAAGCTTTTGGTCAATACATCAAAATGTCGAGCTGGTCGGATAACATTTTTCAGGGAACCTGAACTTACAAATGGCGTAAGTTGAGTCACAAATGACACACTTCTGTTAAATTATTATGTTATTTGTTGGATGATTTTGGACCAATGAGATTTAATTGTGGGCGGGGCTATAGATTAGAAATAGAATCAAGTGACAAAATGCAGCTGGTTAGGACACGGTGTTGCAGATCAGGTTTCTTGAACAAAAAAAAAAAAGGATAATAAGCTCATACAAAAATAATAATTATTATAATAGTAATATAAAACAATAGTGTTCATATAATTCCATATTTGTACAATTGAACCACATTTACATAGCCAGCATACTCTAATGGGTAACACTTCCATTACTTTTCTTTCAAAAGAAAAGCATCTTCGTTGCTTTTTGAACATCTTATTTGTGAGGATCAATCCCTCTGAAGGACAAAATGTTTGCTAGTTCCCCACACAAGCCTCTCTGTTTTGATCAGTCTTGATTTTGAGAGTCGGTTCCTCCCGCTTGCGTTTCTGTGCTAGGACGGCCCAGGCTGAACTCCTCAGTCTCTGAGCCTGCAGAGTTTATGAGTCAAAGGAAGCAGAGAAATAAAGAGATCCTCTGTGAAAATAGAGGTCCAGGTGTTCCCTACTGTCAGCGTTTTTTGAAGGACCGAACAGTTTGTTGTGGGGGAACTATTGGGGGGATGCATGGCTCTTCAGGTTCAGACTCTCTCAAGAAGACAGAGTCCGGCTCGGAGGAGCAGGTGGAACTTCGTTCGTTTAGGATGACCTGAGAGTACATGGGCTCCAGGGGCACACAGAGGTCCAGATACTCCTGAAGGGAAACGCATACGTTAATAAGTAATTCCCATAATGCACTGGAATGAGAACAGTGAACGTTGTCATCCAAGTTTGCACGTGTAGGATGCTTCAATTTTGAGCCAAAGCCTTAAAGTTGCCGTATTTTAAAATCAGTTACTTGAGAGGGTACATTTTGAGTAGGATGCTGACTTTAACTAGCTTACCTGATTGGACATCATGGACAGGGTGCGATCTAGGTCTTCTACCAGCTGTTTAAAAGTTGGCCTATGCGTGGGAACCGCATGCCAGCAGTCTTTCATCATCAGGTATCTGAACAAAAAAAAAAAATTCTTATTAGATTGTATGGCAAACAGTGCATTTCATTCCCAAGAAGGTAACAATTTACTTGAAGGGGTGTGCATAAGACTGACATGACACCTTCATATATGTTAGGAATATGAAGGAAGTTTAATGCATGTTTATGACAACTGTCATTAAGTGTCATTCGCTCAGTTATGACATTTTTAATGCAAATATGACATAGTTTGAGATGACACCTTGACATAAACCAATACATCATAACCTGTCAGTGTCTTTGTCATGACAACTTGACATTACTAAGTCAACACAACATGTCATAAACATGACATAGCAGATTGATTATCAAACTTTATAAACCACCTAGCTTTATTGGTTAACATAACATTAAACTGTCAAGTGGTTGGTTTTGACATTGGCTGTCATGAAGCCATTATAACTTTTTAAGTACCACTGTAGTTGAGGTCACAAAAAATACTCATGACGCATTTATAACAGCCAATGTCAAAGCCAACCACATGACAGTTTAACTTCATTTTATGTCAAGTTGTCATGACAAAGACACTGACAGGTTATGATGTTATGGTTTATATCAAGATGTCATAACAAAGACATAAACTATGTCATAGTTGGATTAAAAATGTCATTATTGAGCGAAGGACACTTAATGACAGTTGTAATAAACATGCACAAACCCTACTTCATATTCAAGACATATGTCATCTCATGAATATAAGGCGTCACGTCAGTCTTATGCACACCCCTTCAAGTAAAGTGTTACCAAAGAGGTATAAAAATTGGAAAAAATAAACTTGACTTGAAAATGCATGCGCCACATTTTTTTTTAAAGATTTATTCATTCAAATAATAATATTAATACATTTTGAAATATAATCATATAATTAAAACTTAATTATTTTATTAATAATAATAATAATCAGTTTCACTTCATATTTATTTTAATAATAAAACATTTATGTATTTATCTTAATAATAACATTGCTACTAAAATAAATAAATATTAAAATAAATCAATTAAATTGTCTATTTCCCTGTGAATTACATTTTAATAGAACCTTTAAAAAGTTTTTATTTAATTAAATTCAGAAGCATTTTTAGTTGCAAACTAAAATATCTGAACGAGCCATTTTATCCCAAAATAAAAGTTTTAATTTCTACTAAGGTAACCAAGAGTGGGAAAAAATATTATTATCATTATAAAAACAAACAAATAAATTATATAATATTAATACGAAAGGTTACATTTTTTGTTAATGCCATTTTTAAAGATTCTATTTAATAAAATGAAGAGGCATCTTTTAGGCCGTGAGCGTTTTTAGCCGGCGCTCTTCTAGCGTTTTCAGTTCTGATACTGAATATCTACGGAAATGTTACAAGTATCCGATTTCAAAAATCGTTTGTTTCTGAATATAAAGTCATCGTATTTGCTTTAAATTAGGTTCTTGTTTTCAATGATATTGTTCCACTGTTTGCTGCTGATGTACAAGCTAAATGTGGTGGTTGGTGTAGTATTTGTCCCGCCCCTCCTCCACTGTGATTGGACGGCTGGGTAAAAAAGTGACAGTGATGAAAAGTAACACTGCCTTTCACCAAAAATTGAACATTCAGCGACCAATAAAAAATTAGTTCAGTGTTAAAGCCTCTGGGAAAAAAAATGCTTTGGTGGACACACGGCCTTAATCACTAATTAAAATATGTGAAAGGGCCGTACAGCTCCTGAGTGCAGGCTGAGGGTCTGTCCATGCGATGACCTTCTCGCAGGAGCTTGAAGAGCTCTTCCACAGGGACTCCGGGATACGGCGAGCCGCCCAGAGTGAAGATCTCCCACAGAAGGACCCCGAAAGACCACCTACAAACCCGAGAGCACTTCATCAGTACCAAAACATAACCAAGAAACAGAACTTTTAGGAAGTGAAAGCACTGATGTGAGGATGAAATGGAAAACAAATCAACCATCTTACACGTCACTTTGATGTGTGTAAATCCTGTCAAACAAAGCCTCAGGTGCCATCCATTTGACGGGCAGCCGGCCCTGAAGAAGAGATAAAGATGTTCACTTGTCATAAATTGAATATTTGGACTAGAAATATGACTGTTTGAAGAACTGACTGCTTACATTTGTAGTCTTCTTGTAGTAATCTATGTGATGAACGTCCCGGGCCAGACCAAAGTCTGCTATCTTCATTACATTATCCTCTGTTACAAGTACATTGCGTGCTGCCAAGTCTCTATGGATACACTGTTGAGGAGTGCAAAAAGACCAAAATATTGATTTTAGCCCATTCTTTGAAGAGATTATGAATCGAAAGCGTTTTTTTTATTTAAAAAAAAAGAACACATATTGTGACAATACCTTTTTGGATGCCAGGTACTCCATGCCACGAGCCACCTGGTAGGCACAGGAGACCAAGTCTTTAATAGACATGCTCTCGACAGAAACCTGGTCAGGATTGTAACAGTACTCCATGCCAAGCGGTCGGCGGGCACGCAGGTATTCCCGCAGGTTTCCTTTAGATGCGTATTCCACAATGACATAAAGAGGGCCTGGAAGAAGGAGATGTTTAGATGTTCCAGCATCTTCAAATGCCACAAGATTGTAAGAATCCTCAGATGGGCGCTTACCATCCTGGGTACAAGCTCCGAGCAGGTTGATGATGTTCTTGTGTTTTCCAATCATCTTCATCATCTCCATCTCTGAGATGAGGTCCGACAGGTCCTTCTCAGTGGCGTCAGCTAATAAAAACATGCCACATGTTGATGAGGTCTGGTTCTACACAAGTAAACATCTGATAAATAATGTGTCATTCAATATTGTGTCACAAAAGTCCTTATCTTAATCAGTATTTTTGTCTGATTTTCCAGGATATAAATAACTCAAGGTCCATTCACACCAACGATGATAACTATAATATTGGGCCAGTTGTTCAAAACATTTAATCTGGATTAAAATGATTTTTTCCTATCCAGGATCAGGCAATCCGTTTTACTTTTATGCCGGTTTTTCAAAGCAACATTGGACTGGATCACCCTGATCCAGATACACAGTTTCCAAGATTACCAAATCCAGATTACCAGTGCTCTAAATGGGACAACATATCACAATGTGGGATACCAGCTATGTAAAGAACAGGTAGAAGAGCCAACATGGGGTCACTGTAAGTGTTTCTTATTTAGAGACAAAACACAAATGGGGACAAGATCATTTTTATATTATTTTTACTTTACTATACTGAATAGCTTAATTGTTAGCCAATGTCTACTTTATCACACTGCTACAACGGTTACACAAGTCAAGTGCAAAATATAAATAAAAGTATATACACTAAAATATAGGCTACAAATATATTTTTTTTGACCAATTTTAAAGTTTTACTACTGAAATCCACCTTGAAATCCTACCCCCTGTTGGGATCAGGATAATCCTGCTTTTTTGGATCAAAGTTATCCAAATCCCACTGACAAGTTTTGAACAACACAAACTGAAGGTTTGATCCAGATTAAAACTAGGATTGGATTCCCTGATCTAATCTGATTTCAGAATCTTTCTTTCCCTTTTGAACAAGCCATTGAGATTTGATCCAATCCGATAACCAAAATCCGACCAGTTTACCTTTGAGCAACTGGCCCATAGTTCTAAAGATTGTCTAATAAGTTCACACAACAATTATAACGATAAGAGCGCAGAAAAACAATATTGTCGAAATCACTTTCAGAAAGTTTTTTTTTTAAGCTGGTGAACGACAAAAGCATTGACAACCACCAGAATCCATCCTGCTTTAAAGAGCTCGAGCTTTTAAAATTGCAGCGTGCTTATAATAAACAGAATAATGTTCTTTGTTGATCTGGATGCTTATATAGTTATAGTTATTATTATTGCTATAAATTCAAATGGGCCTTAAACTTTAAATTAAAGAGAATATATTGTATTATATTATTAATAGGGCTGTGCAAAGATTAATAGCATCCGAAATAAAAGTGTGTGTTTACATAATATATGTGTGTTGTGTATAATTATTTTGTATATATAAATACATATGCATGCATGTATTTAAGAATTATTTGCATGTAAATACTGTATATATGAAGAGTTCAGATGCAAAAGCCTAGCTAAATGCCATTTGAAATTTTCTTCTTTAATGAGGATTTTTATCAAACTTGTATATTTTATTTCATTAATTTCACTTAAATAACAATTAATAGGTAATTATCATTGCCATTTAAGTGAAATTACTGAACTTAAATATACAAGTTTGATAAAAATCATCATAAAAGAAGAAAATTTCAAATGGCATTTAGAGGCTTTTGCATCTGAACTCTTCATATATTTAAATACATAATCTATATTATATATAAATATTTTATGAATGAATTACACATTTTCTTAAATATATACATGCATGTGAGTGAATTTATATATACAAACTAATTATACACAGCACACACAAATATAATGTATTATGTAAACAAACTTTTAATTTCGATGCGATTAATCGCACTTAATCTTTGCACAGCCCTAATTATTAAAAATGTTATTAGTATTAAAATAAATAAATACATTTTATTATTCTAGAAAAAAATATTATTCTGGATATATAAAATAAATAATACAAATATAAAATAAAACAATTTGCCAATGGTGTATGAACAATTAACTTAAAGATATATTTCAAAGTAAGAGTATAAAGAAAATGTACAGAATTTTGTCAAAGTAATAAAGTAAAATAAAGTAAATTTAACTTTTTTTTTTCTTTTTTAAAGAATTTTTACAGAAAAAAGAACAACAAAACACTTTTTTTGCAGAGCAATATATTCTGGTCCCTTTTTCAAAGTAAATGTAAGAGTTGTTTGTAACACTATCAAAAATTAGTCACATCCCTCAGAATCTTCATCAAACCATTTCATGGTGTATTTTAGGCTGTTAATTTGCAAAACCACATACATTTCAGCATCTTCACAGCGACTTTAGTTATTCGGTTGGGCTTGTCCTTGTCCACTCCAATGGCTTCACCCATAACCACCAGACCAAAGCAGCCCTCTCCCAGAGGTTTCCCAAGTACTAGCCTGTAACAAACATACAGATGAACAAAATTTCAAAATTATTTCTAAGTTGACCCTCGTACACAGAAAATGAAGTGAGAGAAGTTGTGGTCGTACCTCTCTCGGGGCACCTCCCAGCACGGGTCCTGGGGCAGCTCGTACTCAGAGACCCCTGAGAGCATGGGGGTCCCGCTGGAGGAGAGTCGTGAAGGACGGACCAACATCACACCAGAGTTCAGAGACGAACTGGATTCCACCGACACCTGTAGGTGGAGGAAGCAGAACAAGTGTTTTTTAAGGCCTTAAAGGGTTAGTTTACCCAAAAATGAAAATTCTGTCAGTATTTACTCACCCTCATGTTGTTCCAACCCCGTAAGACCTTCGTTCATCTTCGGAACACAAATTAAGATATTTAAGATATTAAGATATTAAGTCCATAGGCTTCTTGAGGGACTGACTCTTGCTGTCCCCGAAAAGTCATTAAAGACATCGTTAAAATAGTCCAAGTGACTACAGGGGCTCGATCTTTAGTTTATCAAACGACGAGAACACTTTTGTGCGCAAAAAAACAACAAAAATAACGACTTTATTTCAACTATTCACTTCCTTCTCCATGAGCCTGTAAGTCAGTTAACGTAGTGTGATTGCGTAGAGCTACGTCACACGTAGGCTCACTATTGGCCGACGCTGGTCATGTGTGTGTGATGCGTGTGACGTACAATAACAGAAGCTTACGCTATTAAACTAGTAACCTGACTCGCGCAGAGGGAGAAATAAACGAATAGTTGAAATAAAGTCGTTATTTTTGTTGTTTTTTTGCGCACAAAAGTGTTCTCGTCGTTTGATAAACTAAAGATTGAGCCCCTGTAGTCACTTGGACTATTTTAACGATGTCTTTAATGACTTTTCGAGGACAGCAAGAGCCAGTCCCTCAAGAAGCCTACGGACTGTATGCAGGAGCGATCTTAATATCTTAAATATCTTAATTTGTGTTCCAAAGATGAACGAAGGTCTTACGGGGTTGGAACAACATGAGGGTGAGTAAATACTGACAGAATTTTCATTTTTGGGTGAACTAACCCTTTAAGATGGACACAAGGGTCTTTCTTTAAGATACCGGTACGTCAAAGCCCTTATCCGTTACCTGTCTGCGGAGAGGAATGCTTTTGGCCAGCTTATGGACGGCCAACTGGCTGTTAAAGTCGCTCTTCTTGGAGGAGCTGCGGACTTTGACGATGGTGGCGATTCCTACCATGAGGAAGATGAGGAAGAATCCCACGCAGTAGATCAACACCTCCAGGTAGGACTGACTGGGAACTGCAGAGGGAGCGATGGGTGCTTATGGGGCAAACACAACGCTAAGGTCAGTAACCAAAACTAGATTTATACCTCTACTGAAGAATGAGCTATGGGGTTTTAAATATTTATCGGGCTGTTGCTATTACGAAATATTTTTCTGAAAAAGTAAAAAAAAAAAATGTAAATAATAGTGATGGTTGGCATAGAAACAGCATTAATAAGGTTGAATACACTTATAGAGTTTAAACTGACATCAAAAACACCTCTGTGACTGTGTCTACAGCATTAAACAGTGCTTTGGACTGACACACACTGGTAGATGCTGGTGACAGGCACACACGCACACGTATCCACACATACACACACACACACACACACACCGAGCTCTGTTTTATTTCAACCAGTGCATTTGACACTATTGGCACCGAGAAGAGAGCACAAGCTCTCTTTGTTGCCACATAATGGCTCCTTTGTGGAGTAGTATTTCATCCCACATTCTCCACCGGCATGGGGCTGCAGTCGTCCCATGCACAAGTATGAAATGGAAACATCCTGGCCAAACTGTCCTGGGAGGCCAAAGAGACACATAACTACACCTGATGGGTTGTTATTAAATTAAAGCATCGTATCTATAGATTTGAGCTGTTCTGCAATATTATGCAATGGTTGAAATAAAACAATGTCTCCAGAAGATGAGGAACCAAATGTTTGTGGTGCTTGATCATTAACAACTTCATATATTTTAATGATGCATTGATAACGCGCACCTAGTCACAATTAACTCCGATTATAGTCAATAAAATGATAAAGATGTTCCAAAATACTGTTACCCATATGGCATTTTAAGGCATCATAATCATGCTCCACACACAATGGTGGTTAAAAGATTATGCTGCATTATAAGATAACTCATTTTTGATGAATTCTAAGGCTGCATCACATGTATTCTTTCCAAAGAAGGCAATCCCATTATGCATTGCGAATAGCTTGGTAAAAATAAATAATCCCAGATGGTGCACACGTTGAGGAAAATGTTATAAATACGTTGATCTTTCAATCACTGCTAAAAAAAATATGAATAAAAATAGTTCAATTGACTATTTTAGCCAATATTTTTTTCATGTGCTATTTATTTTAATGCCTATTAGAGCAGAGGTTCTCAACCGGTGGCCCTCAGCAAACCTCAAGATGACTTAAAATAAGCCCAAACAACAACAAAAATGAAAGATATTACTTATTTTAATTAACCCACTCCAAAAAAAAATGTATTCCCTTCGAAGAACCAGGGTTCCCACGGTCTTGATACGTAGCCTAATCTTAAAAGTGTGATTACTAGACCTGGAAAACTCTGTAAATTAAAAAAAAGTCTTGGGCTTTAATTAATAAAACTGTGTAAGAATTTTATAATGAATATACTTTGTCATCTCAAGCTCTAAAAATTGCAAGTGATAGCAAATTTGTGGGGGCGCCAGAAGTCATAGCCTATATTGAGTTTACCAAATATGCTACTTATGAGGTTCAATCACAGTTAGGATGCAGCCTTAGAACACCAAGATAGCTTCCTAGATATTCTCATATCATAGTCTGCTTACTCTCAGAATGAACATAACTGATTTAATCAGAGTAAAGGTGACTTGGTGTGCACTAACCGCTCATTAAAACAACAAAGATAGCAGGACAGAGTGAGAAAACAAGGAATTTAGAGGAGGTGAAACACAGTGCCATAACTGGTGTCATTTGCCAGGTCAATGGGAAGTAAAACCTACTAAGGGAACCTTAGTAAGATAATACTTCAATAGGGGAAGATGTCACTAAAATCCAAATGTTTGGTCTACTAGTCATGCTGGTGCCGCGCATGGGTGGTTTTGCACCTGTGGACGGTTACACACGTTCCCATAAAACACCTCGGCCTTTGTCAGCGGTGCAAAAGATACACCGGCTAAAGTGACAGCTGAGTAAATGCTCTTCGACTTAAATGTGGTTCACCTGAAACTGGCGATTGACACAAACAAATGGACACTGTTGGGAATTATGGACGAGAAGGGAAGGTCTTGAGAGGACAGGAAAGAGTCGCCGGATACCTTTGACAACGGTCAACCATGCTGAATGATGGGATATCCCGATAGAATTGCCCGCCAAGCAAGTATACTCCCCAGCATCCTCAAAGGACACATTCCTCAACTGGAGCACCTCCATCTCCTTGTCGGTGGTGTTGAGGCCAGCCGTCTGGAAGAGAACGAGAAAAGCAGACCCGAGGCCCAAGACGTGAGGGGAAAGGAGGAGGAAGCGGGACCACATTGAGCTTGGGGAGTTGTTGTTTCTGGTTGTTTTAAAAACCAGTTAGATGCTCCCAAAGCTCAGAAAGCCACCTGAAACCTTTCCATCACCTGTAGAGAGAGCAAATATCACTGCCCAGCACCATCACCACCAGTCTACCTCCACCTACATCAGGCAAGCCACATGGAGAGTCTCTCCAGTAAGACCCAATCCATAGCCAAGGAATTATTGCCATTGTTTGGGTCAACTGGAAGTTTCCATGGCATTATTGAATAGGAAAACCCAAAGCATGAGAGAAACCCAAAGCAAAAACCTCTACAGAGATCATTTCAGACTAGCCTGTGATCAAGTTACCTTGTCTAAGGACAGTTAACCAGGCTGACTGATTGGCTTCTCCTATATAATTGGACACTTTGCATATATACTCGCCGCCCTCTTCTTCTGTGATATTGTAGAGAGTCAGCACCTGGGTGTCCGAGCTATTGACCCCCGAGTGCTGGAGACAACAAGAGACCAAATTCATGACATCCAGTCCCAATCCAGCACATCCTAATATGTGTGGATCTCTTATACGAAACCGCTGCACACAAGTCGGACTTGAGCAAATTTGCTGCATTTCATTGTTAAACCTTTACCTTTAGGACGCGTACGTAAGGGAGTCCATCAGGTCCCAGTTGACTTCCGTTCACCAATATGTGTTTGAGCCACTGGATGTGAGGCTGGGGATCGCTGAAAACCTTGCATACAAACTCTACGTCACTGCCAACCACAGCCGTTCGGTTTGCAGGGAGACCAGCATAGAGGATGGGCCTGTGAGGTGATCGCTCTGCAATATACACAAGGGGGGTTTGTGAGGCTTGAATTTAATTGCAATATTTGAAGAGTTCAGATGCAAAAGCCTCAAAAATGGTCATTTTAGAAGAAAATTTCAAATGGCATTTAATCAAGCTTGTATATTTAAGTTCAGTAATTTCACAATTAATAGATAATCTTCATTGCCATTTAAGTGAAATTACTGAACTTAAATATACAAGCTTGATAAAAATGATCATTTTAGAAGAAAATTTCAAATGGCACTTAGAGGCTTTTGCATCTGAACTCTTCATTTATTCTTGGACTGCCACTGGTCGAGACTGAGACGTGACTGACCCACTACATCCAGCTGATAGGTGTGATTGATGCTTCCGTATTCATTCTCCACCAGGCATGTGTAGTTGCCCTTGTCTGAGGGCACCACAGACTCCATGATTATGGTCCACATGTGTTCCCGCAGCTGAGAATGGAAAAAAATACTATTACTTAAAATTAGAGCCCGACCGATAAAGGATTTTGAAGGCCGATACCGATACAAATATTTGGTGGTTTTAAAGGGATACTCCACTTATTTTGGAAATCATTTTCATTTTACCACTCCCGCAGAGTTAAACAGTTGAGTTTTACCGTTTTCGAATCCATTCAGCCGATTTTCGGATATTTAGAACAATATCAGTAACCAGACAGTTTCTGGTCTCATTGACTTCCATAGTAGGAAAAAAATATACTATGTAAGTCATTGAGACCAGAAACTGTCTGGTTACTGATATTCTTCCAAATATACGGAAATCGGCTGAATGGATTCGAAAACGGTAAAACTCGACTGTTTAACTCTGGGGGAGTTGTAAAATGAGCCTATTTCTCCACTTTATAAAGTTAAAAAGTGGAGTATCCCTTTAAAATCCGATATTCCGATATATCGGCCGATATTTGTTTTTTATTATTATTATTTCAGAAACACGCAACAAAACATTAACAGATTTCCCTAACATTAGTTATTTATAGTTATTTATGAGTTTTAACTAAAATAATATGATAATGCATTTTAAAAAGAAACTTGTTTCTTTTATCATCACAACAGAACAGACTGATGATAGTGGCATTAGCTAGCTTTGTGGTTAGCTAGTCTATGATGAGCCATAATTTAGCAATGGATTACGTCATACTGCAAATTGTAAAACTTACATTTTCAATATAACAGGCCTAGGAGAGATGATACGTCTTATTGCTATAACTGTCACGCGCTATTAAAGAAATACTTCAGTCACATTGTCAAAAGTTAAAAGGACAGTCAGTCCACTACACTGCAACAACGTAACGTAACTATTACTAGCTAATTCCGCTTCACTCTCGGCTTATTTAACAGCAGCAAAACTGGACATGATTTTGTCATGCTTTTTTGAGTTAAGAGAACTGATGCAGATGTTCTTTTAATTGTTATTCAAGCAATGTATGTCTCGTGACCAACTCAACGAGTGTTGCCAAGAGGGACTGTGTAGAGTGCCCTCTGTTGGACAAACTATACAACTCCAACACTCATGACATGGTTCAAGCGTGTTTCGTCCGTTTTTATTTTTGAAATATTCATTTATCGGCCATTATAACTGCCGATACCGATAGTTTGGAAAATGCCTAATATCGGCCGGCCGATATATAGGTCTGGCTCTACTTAAAATAGATTCATAAAATGTTTATTTTGAATATATACACAGCCCAGATAAAAGAAAGTCGCTGTTTGGATTAAATTGAAAATGCTTAAGAGTCAATGATTGAATAATTGCATGTTTGTTTCGCAACCCTAATTGATGGATCATGTAGCTTTTCATTTCTTAAACATTGTAGGAACACACATCATGGCAATATTCCAGGATGACGATGTCAAGATCAGGCTCAATTTGTGAAAGAATGGTTGGGAGGGATTATTCATGAAGAATAATATTCACACGTAATTTTCTGTATCCTTAGTTGGAAATGGCTGATGCAACAATCTTGAATGTCGAAAATATTCAATAATCAAATATTTTGTGCATATTCAGTATATTACAAAGCCCTAATTATCACTACAGCTATCAGCTCGTAACCAGACCTCTCATGTTGCCTGCACGTTTAAATCAGGGTGTGTGTATTCAGGTGTCGGGTTCAGGGTGTCGAGATTCAGGCTGTGATTTCGGCCTATTGTGAGCTGAGGTTTCAGCTTTCCTTCTCTCGGCTCAGGTGCAGAGTAAATGAGGGTTGTATGTCCTACATAACAGTGATATCACAACAGAAGTCAGCTACTGAAGTGCTCTCATGTGCAAACGTACCTTGTAGCCCCCGATGCGCTGGTCTCTTTTGAACTCTTTTCCATTCTTGAGCCAGCGTAGTTTCGGAGTTGGGTTTCCCTCGGCCTGACATCGGAATTTCACCGTTCTGCTGGCCGGAACGGCATGAAGCTTTTTTTCCATCTTTTCAGGCTGAGCCCAGTGAGGTGCCATCGCTAAATCGAAAATATGGTATTTAACAAAACAACAAACATTTAATAATTGGATTGTCTTCCTGAAAAAAAGAGAGCGCATGCTTACGTAAGAGCTCCTGGCTACTTGACGGCTTGTTCTCTTCTGACGATGACTCATCGTCGTCCTCATCCTCGGAAGACGGTACTGCGTGACCTGTGACAAAGTCGACAGAATGCGTGTCAGAGAATACATTCATTTAGCCGTTCACCATGAGCAATTTCAGACGTCACAATTTCAGTAAAACACTGATTTATTTGTCTGTCTCTGTACAAGAATTCTGGTCAGGGAGCAGAGATAGCAGCAGATTAAGAAAGGCGAAGTTTGAAATGCTTTTAATTTTTTATTCACAATACTGTGCCACATTTTGTAGTCTTGATTGATCAGGTTAGTGAACGGAATAAACGCATCCGCCCTTCACAGAGCGCCGGACAGTGAGAGTGCATGAGTCACTGCAGGCTCCGCTCCAGATCCATGCACACACTCGAATCACAGACGCACACACAATCTAGGGAGCTGTCTCCACAGCAGAACAGGGAGAAAAGACCTCTAAAAGCCTCAGTTGCTCATCTATGAAAACAATACAACCTCAAAAAGCAAATTAAATGAAAGTGACTTTTCACTTGTTTTCATGTTCATTTGCTTAGAAAAGTAACAGAAATACTTTCTTCCACAAGCCACATCATTTGAGATATCATTCATGTCCATAGCACAAACGGTGAAGGACACCAAAAATACACCATCAGCCATACCCCTCAAAAATAACAAAATGTGTCATTTTCACAGAAAATTGTTTCTTCGATATATATATATATATAAAAGTTCATCATCTCTAAGCTCTTACAAGACGTTTCTCTCACATTAATGATGAAATAGGCAGAGTGGTTGCCCAGAAAGCTCTGAACAGTGCAGGAGTAAAGCCCAGAGTCTGTCGGCTTTACTAACCCGATCTCCAGCTGGCCCCTGTTCACCCACGTGGTCTCCATTCAGCAATGCAGCGTGGTCTCTCATCCAGATGACCCCTAGGACTACATGAGGTCTCGTCTTGAGCCAAGCACCAAGGAACAATGTGTACAGCTTCATTTTCACCTCTGTTCGAACTAGTGGCGGAACAGAAGACCAGGAATGTTTGGCAAAGGGGGAACTGGAGCAAAATCGGCAACGCGGGTCCAAAGGAAACTGAAGAACCACTAAACTTAAATAAGGGCCATGACTAACAAAAAGATGAGTTTGTAAAGCACTATGGAGAAAGAAAACTACATAAGGAATGCTTTAAAAATCGAAGCTGATGCCACAAAGTCAAAAAAAGATTAAAAATTTATGCAAGCCAGATATCCGGAAATAGAAAATCAAGACCACATCTGGGGGATATTTTAACCTAAAATTACCCTTTTTTTTTTTTTTTTTTTTTTTTGCATTATGACATTTCCATGACTATTTAGCACATTTCAATTAAGCAAATTCCAGTTATGCCAAAATAACAATATCTTTCTTTTGACTGATATCATGATTTACAATAAGAATGCAAAGTACAGATAGTATTTGTTCTTCTGCATTTAACATTTAATCATGCTGTTTTATAATAAAAATAAAAGATAATCATATATTTTTTAAACGAATGACAGTTTTACAAAAAAAAGTTAAATATCTGAAAATTAAGAGAATATTTTGATATGAAAATGAAGGACATTTTCCCACGGAAAAAAAAAAAAGCACTGCCAAAAAACTGCCAATACAAATTATCCAAATAGTCTTAAATATTATTTTTTTTAAATAAACTTTTTTTTTGATGTCCCAGGGTCTTTATCGTGAGATTCACCCATCTCACCCACCAATTCAATACTGCACTCTGCTCAAACACTTTGAATAAAAAAAAACAATCCTGTCAGAAAGAAATGCACTCCTTTACAATAAATGCACTTTAGAAATGCACTTCCTTTACAAAAGATTGGGAAGTTCTGAGGTTAAAAATGAAACTGTTTAAAGATTAACCTCCGGTGACCCACTACACTTATTAAGACTGAGTTTCAGTACATACAAACAAAAGCCAAAAATAAAAACCCTGACGCCAGAGCAAACGGCAGTTCCCATTCAAAGAGACCCCCCACCAACCTTAAGTCACCTTAATTGTCAAACAAACTAATCCTTCCCTTTTGTCCTCCACAAAGTTTCTTGACAATGCGAGCGGATCCGTAAGAGATGGAGGGGGAAAGAGAGTTAGTTTGGAGAGACAGAGAAGAGCCTGTAACAGCAGGTTCCTCGGCTAGTTGTCATGGAGATCTCACTTGAGCCAACTGGAGGTATTTCCTGGATCACAGGCCCCTTAATCCCAGCAAGGAAACGGGACGAGAGGGGGGTGGGATCAACTTTCGTTTCAGCCCAATTTAACAACAACAAAAAAAAAGCAGGAAAAGTAGCGGCTGGGGGAGATGACTGGACTTGAAATGAGGACTGATGTCTTATCGCATATACTTCCATTCACTTTATTTTCAATCATTCCAATCACTTACAAGAGCAGAAACAGGACACACACATTAAACCACAGATTTACAAGAAAAACAGCACATATAACTGGAGTTAAAGGGGTTGACAACTCCCAGCATGCCTTTTGATGTCTAAACGTCTGGCTGTTGTTATTGTTGCAATTAATCCAGCGAAGATATTTTTAGGAGTCTACCATTCGTAAACACTTCATAGACTGGATTTGCTTCAAGTGGAAACTTGAAAAAAAAAAAAAAAAAAAAAATCTATAAAAATATCAATGTCACCATAAACATTTATCGGCCATATGACTATATGACTGAGAGAGTTGTTTTAACTTACTCTTGAATTTCAATGGTTTCATCAAGTGAACTGGTATTTAATGTAGTCTGGGTAGTACTGTTTTT